CTACCAGCATGTCTTTGGAATGTGGGAGGAAACCGGAGTACCCGGAGAAAACCCACGCAGGCACAGGGAGAACATGCAAACTCCATGCAGGAGGTGCCATGGTTGGGAATCAAACCCATGATCCAATTACTGCAAGGCAGAAGTGCTAACCACTAAGCCACTGTGCCGTGTGTGTGTGTATATATATATACACTGATTTATATATATATATATTTACACCGATTTTGACGATCGGCCGATTTTCCCGGCAATGATGGGCAATGATGGGCAAATCGTCCGATCGTTTTACCGATAAAAAATCTGCAAGGGACAGAAGTTACGTGGTGAACTTTATGATTTTGTCGTCCGATTTTTTTTTTTACCGTTGGTGGTAACGTTGGCTGACCGAACGACCGATTTTTCGGGTTTTTTTTTTTTTTTTGAAAAATCGTCTGATGTTCGACTCTATGGCCTGCATAACTCTGCTCCATTTGAATTGAAAAATCATGTTTGTGGACTAAGTGGAGGTAAGCCTATGAAAATGTCTATAAGACTTCACACTCCTAGATTGTAAGCTCCAAGGAGCAGGGCCCTCCTTATCCCTCTTGTATTGAATTGTATTGTTGCTGTATTGTCTCCCATTATATTGTAAAGCGCTGAGCAAACTGTTGGCGCCATATAAATCCTGTATAATAATAAATAAATAATAATAATCTAATTTACATCATATCAGCTTAACATTATGAAGGAGACACAGCTGTATACTATATGTAGTGTAGCTTTCGTGAAAAACAATATTGGTGAAAAAATTCTGGTTTATGTGTTTTATCTTTATATATATATATATATATATATATATATATATATATATAACAAATGACAACCCCCCCAAATTTCAGATTTTTCTTTTTCATTTTAAATCTTGTAGATTCTAGCACAATGATTGCGGATTATCTGAGAACATATCGCTGTGGGTGTTGTACCTTGGCCTATTGAATCATTTGTTTACTCTCTATAATGTGTCTTCCTTCCTGCAGCCAGCATATGTGTGAATGACTGCGTTTCTTACATAGCATTTGCTGAAAGGGGGGAGCTTGCATCCTTTCCTTTCTGCACTGCCAATAGCGAGCAGGTTTTTTTTTTTTCTTTTTATTGCTTATTAGAAACAAGCAGTCTAATGCAGGCCATACACAGATCAAATTCTGAACAAATTTTCTTCAGAAAATCAGAAGTTTTGTGCGTTTGGTAACCCGATGGTGCCTCCATTGATTTCGAAATGCAACCAACCAAGCCTTAAATTTCTCCTCATGTTGCTACAGAAAATAATTTTCGTGCCCAAGAATGTTCTTTTCTTTCCACGTCACAGCTTTACATTTCTTACACAATTCTCCCATCATTGATTCAAAATTCTTACACAATTCTCCCATCATTGATGCGAAATTCTTACACAATTCTCCCATCATTGATGCGAAATTCTTACACAATTCTCCCATCATTGATGCGAAATTCTTAAACAATTCTCCCATCATTGATGCCAAGATTCGATGGTCATACGAAAATCAGCTGTTTCTGTCACCCACTAATGGTGCAAAATTTTAACAAAAATTCTTAGAAAAGATTTTCGAAAGAAAATTCTTTCGAAATTCGACCCGTGTATGGCTGACTGTAGGCTATGTTGACATCTATGCATGTAGGGTTAATGTGTTTTTGAGGCCTGTTTTGCAGCCCACTTTGTGTTTTTTCATGTACATTTTTTTTATTTGTTTTGAGTTTTGGGATGTGTTAATGTTGCCAGGAGGAGGTGACGATTGTCATGCAGGAAAATGCACCAAAAACACATAAAAAATGCATGTACATGTGTTTTTCTTGCATTTTATGCAATTTTATTGAAGTCTATGGGGTCAAGAACACTCAATGCTGCCTGCTAAAAAGTCCATGCACTTTTCCAACAAAACGCAGAAGTGGAAACTGCATAGATGTGAATGTGACCCTTGGTAAGTAAAGTTTAATGGACTGTTGTGCGTTTCTGCAAATCTGCAAATGCGCTGCACTGAACCTAGCCTAGCCTTAGGAAGAAAGACAAAGCAATTCTGTTTTGCACTGCCAAAAAAAAGACAAACTAAAGCTGAGAACAATTAGGCGTTAAGCCTCATACACACGGGGAATTTTTACAGCTGTTTCTAGGGCCGTCTGGCATTTTTTTTTCCTGCCTCTAAACTCCCCTACATTTTAGCCTATGTGTCCATGCACACATAAAATTTAAGAGGAGTTTAGAGGCAGGAAAAAAAATTACTGCCAGTCAGAGGCGGACTGACAACTCATGGGGCCCCTGGGTAATAGGGGATCATGGGGCCCCTGTGTCCTTGCCCAAACTCAAAAAAGCCTATGAAAAAGGTACCAGGGGCATCTCATGGGGCCCCCTACTGACCCTGGGACCTCAGGCAGTGCCCGAGTTTCCAAATGGTCAGTCCGCCCCTCCTGCCAGTTCAACAGAGGTTTGATGCTTCTAAATGCATGTAAATGAATCTACACATCCATTAACGCTAGGCACGTTTAGTCCTTGAGTGTTCATTTATTTCAATGGTCACAATAAATTATTTATGCTGGCCAATTAAATAAAATAATGCCCAAATGTGCCGAAACGCGTTACACACTTTTACAAGTGTCAGGCGTTTTTTCTGCCAAAATGCTGCTGCCAGGAGGAAAGGCCTCTAGGAGAGTTAGAAAAACATCCAGTGTGCATGAGGCCTAATAATAAAGTACAAACCTCCGTTCTGTATGAACTAGCACAATCATATTCTGACTATTAAAAAATAATGTTTAGTCTAACTAAAGCTTTTCTCTAGTTTATAATGGTGGGTTAGTTTACATCTCCAAGTATACCATATCATATCTATGAATTTGTCCTTTCTGCAGCTGGAAGGTCTGCTAGTTAGCTGATATCCTAAACCAGACAGCTAGATAAATGTTCTGCTTGGAGACATCACGTATCAGTGCACAAGCCCATCACTGACATGCTGAGGAATCCATCCACATGTGCGTGAACGTTTAGGGCCATGAAATCTTTTTCCTTGGTTTTATTGCTGTTTGTCTCAGAAATGTCCCCACAGTCAGGACAAACCAGCCTTTGACAGTTGTCATTAGAACAGATGTGTCCCTTGGGAAAATCTCCCTAACCTCCCTTATCTGTGAGAGATGTCAATGTGGTTTTCCTTTCACTCTCTGCTCCCTTGACATCGGAGACTGAGACAGGAAGTGGGGTAATGCTCCCTGATGGGGACACAGACACACATAAAACCTGACACTTAGGGCTCATGTACACTGCAGCCAGGGGCGGACTGACAACTCATAGGGTCCCCAGGCAATAGGGGATCATGGGGCCCCTGTGTCCTCGCCCAAACTCAAAAAAAGCCTGTGAAAAAGGATCATGGGGCCCCCTACTGACCCCGGGCCCTCGGGCAGTGCCCGAGTTTCCAAATGGTCAGTCCGCCCCTGACTGCAGCTGATAAACTCACGTTTAGGAGCCGTTTAGCGTTTTTTTCAGCAGGCCCTGAACTCTCCCTAATGTTTTCCTATGTGTCCATGTACACATAGTCGTTTACAGGCAGTTGAGTTTACAGTCGTTTTTTTGAACACAGAAAACTTGCGTTCAGCAGTAGATTTTATCAGCGTTTCAAACATCAAACGAGTGAAAACGTGGCTAACCGCGTTTTAAGGCGTTTGCAAATTTTTTTAACCCTTCCATTTCCAGATGCTGTCCAGAGCCTTTTTTCATCATGAAAAATGCATCCCGGTGCTCAAATGGATCTAGCACAACATACTTTGAGGTTTTGCATGAAAAAAAATATGTTAGACACTGCTGCAATAATTTCTGCACAGAAATGAGCTGGAACACATCCAAACACCACAAAAAAAAGACAGCTAATCTCAGCAAATACTGCTCTCTCTGCTTCTGCTCTCTCTATTTCTCTCAAAATGTCTGAAATAGTTATTTTTTTACTGTTTTTCCCGGTCTCCTGAGGTTATCTTTAAAAAAATGCTACTAAATGTAAACGCTCATAAACACGCATAAACGCACATAAACGCAGTTTGCAAACAGATGTTTTTTAACCTATATTTTCCAGTAGTCAGTTTCTATCGTTCAGAAGTGTCCCGTGTACATGGGGCCTTATCCATTTGGCCCACTCCACTTTAGGTTGCTGAAATCAGGCATTGTGTGAAAATAGTGCTGGTATAAATAAGTGCTAAAATCTAGTGCCATTTTAAAGTAGCTTGTGGGACTCAAGTGGTCGAATGTTGCATGTCTACATATTTTTATTTTTAATATTAACCACTTGCCCTCCAATAGATTTACCCCCCTTCCTGACCAGGCCATTTTTTGCGATACGGCGCTGCGTTAATTTAACTGTCAATTGCGTGGTCATTTAACGCTGCACCCAAATGAAGTTTACTTCCTTTTTCTCCCACAAATAAAGCTTTCTTTCTGTGATATTTGATCGCCTGTGTGTTTTTTATTTTTTGCGGTATAAACAAAAAAAGACTGACAATTTTGAGAAAAAAACAATATTTTTGACTTTTTGCCAGACATGTCCAGTAAAAAAAAATTTTAAAAATCAAATTTCGTCATAAATTTAGGCCAAAATTTATTCTGCTACATGGTCTTTGCTAAAAAAAAATCCCAATACATGTAAATTAATCAGTTTACATGAAAGTTATGGCGTTTACAAATGGCGGTATATATACTGGAATTTTTTGTTACTAGTAATGGTGGTGATCAGCGACTTATAGCAGGACTGCAGGACTGACACTGTTTGGAACTGACTTGGTGTCACTACAATCCCCAGTGACACCAATACAGTGATCAGAGCTAATAAAAAGCACTGACACTATATTAATGACAGTGGGCAGGAAGGGGTTAACATCTGGGGTGATCAAAGGGGTAACATGTGTACTGTATGCTGTTTCACTATGTGGGCTGTGTGTGTGCTTCACTGTAAGCACACTGTTTTGTATGGCCATACAAAGCAGTGTGCAGTAGCTGACAGGGGAGAGATCTGAGTTGTTTATACACAGGTCTCTCCCCTGTCGGAGATACACAGTGATCACTAGGTGCCGGCGAGTAATCACCAGCTGGGACCCGGTGACTGACCCGCGAGGCCATGAATGGCGACGCGGGTAGGGTGCACGTGCCCCCTACCCGGAAATGCAAAATCACGTATATATACATGATGTTGAGCACCCATGATGCACTGTAGCAGTATTTGTGCTATAGGGCAGCGTGGAAACGGTTAATAAAAGTCACATTTATACAGAGGTAGGGCCTATAATTCTAAATGTTTACAGCATGAAGGAGATCAATGGTCACCGCATACATGTTCAATTTATAACATCAGCATTGCAATAACAATACAAACAATAGTTGTTGATGACAATCCAATATATTCTTACTTGAAAAATCACCTTTCCTACAACTCTGGCTTGCAGAATGTTACGCTTATTGATTTCTACAGTTTTCACATGTTTTCTGTGACTTATGGAAGCATTCTGAAATTTTTGTCACGTTTGTGCATTTCTATGGGCTACATTATGTATCTTGTAAAACTTCAATAAAAAAATCATTAAAAAATGAAAAAGCTCCTTTCATGTTGTGAACTCTGCCTGTCTGCTGGCCATCTCTTTCCACAACTTCCTGGAATCCCTGCATGCATTGTAGCTCCACCTCAGCTGTTTACTTTCTATTTCTATGGACTACATATCCCATGGTACCTTGCTGCCTGCAAGTAGTGATTCCTGCACTGACTCCGCCTCCTGAAGTTCCTACTTTCAGTACCTCTGTAGATCAGAAGGCAGGCTCTGTGCAATGCCTGACACAGCAGTGCTTACTCACAAGATATAGTGATAACATGCCACGGAGTTGAATAAAGTAAATGTGTGGGGAGCTTCAAAAAGTAAGTTTACAAACTTCAATATCATTCAGATTAATAGTAGTAGGCTAGAAATAATTGAAATACAACATGGAATTTAATCTTTTACATTTTAAAAGGCACTGTGATGTCTGAACTGGCTGAGTTTCCCTGAAGATATAGAATTTAGGTAAATGTTTTATACCCATAGCACAGCCCCCTATGCTGATATATACATTGGGGTTGATTTACTAAAACTGGAGAAATCCGATAAAGTCTGGCGCCATGAACTGTATGTATTGATCAGGGGTGGACCGACAACTCATGGGGCCCCCGAGCAATAGGGGTTCATGGGGCCCCTGTGTCCTTGCCCAAACTCAAAAAAGCCTATGAAAAAGGTACCAGGGGCATCTCAGTGCCCGAGTTTCCAAATGGTCAGTCCACCCCTGGTATTGATATTGGGAACATCCACAGCTGCTTTAGATAAACCTCTGGAACATGGTAAAACAGTCAAGAAAAACAATGATCCAAAGCGCTTAGGGTTTCCTAATTGAATTATCTTGAAACTAGCCTATATATCAAACTGTGGTAGAGAAAATGGCAGTCATCCTTGACATAATAATATTAACAAGGTTTTTATTAAACATCCATCACGGCCAATAGTCAGGTTAAAAAACAATTATAACAAGAATCCATAATCACGTGGGTTGTCAATCCCCACTTCAGTGACTTGAAAAAGCGCATGTGTGCGAAACTTGTCATAGTAACGTCCCTGCCATCTTGGATCTGTGACATAGGCTTCCAAGGCCGATTCCATTACAGCTGCCTCTGGCGTCCCTAGACATGGGCATTGTTTACATCTGGTGTGCCACTTCCAGTGTGCGCGGTCGCCAGCCTGGGACACTTACATCAGTTCCAGCCACAGGGGATTACTGCTACATGAGCGGCACACCTGGACGCCTCTTTCGTATGGCCTTATGTAAGTAATATATGTAAGTGGGGATTGACATCCCGCGTGATTATGAATTTTTATTATACAGGTGTACCTCGGTTTACAAACGCCTCGGTTAACGTAATTTTCGTTTTTCGAATGAAAATCCATTGAAAATAATGCCTTGGTTTACGAATTTTGTACAAATTGTTTTCACAATATGAAGTGTATGTCGGTTCCAATTTTTAAATGCAATTGCCAGCGCTTTTTTTTCTTCACTATAGCTCACAGAATTAGCTGTCACTTTCCCTGGAGTTAAAGGAAACTTTGTTTCTTTTAAGAAACTAAAAGAAAACATTGTTTCTTTTAACTTGGGGAAATAAACTAAAAGGAAACTTTCTCTTTTAGCTGGGGGAAAGTGACAGCTGAATCTCTGACCTATAGTGAAGAAAAAAAAGCAGTAATTACATTTAAAAACAGGAACCATAATAAATAAAAAAATAGCGTGGGGTCCCCCCTCCCATCCATACTAAGCCCTTCAGGTCTGGTATGGATTTTGAGGGCAACTCCCACCCCAAAATTTAAAAAAAAAATGGTGTGGGGGTCACTCCCAAAATCCATCCCAGACCCTTATCCAAGCATGCAGCCCGGCAGGTCAGGAATAGGGGGTTACGAGTGATGTCCCCGGGTGGCCCCACCCCTTATATATTTAAGAACTGTCAAACCTCTGGAGCAGGCAGACGGCCGGGGGCCATCGTCGGAAGCTGAGCTTTTTTTTTTTAATTCCTTGTTTGGAGCGGCGGTGGCGGATATCGTGATTGTCGTTTGATCTACTGCAGGGACATTCTTTTATTTTCTTTCTTTTAATAAAGGACTTGTCAAAGACCGTGTCCTGTCTTTTTCACACTAAACTTTTTGTTTTTTTGTGAATGAGTAGTGGGACCATGTACCCCATACTCATTCACATGGGGGCGTGGGATCTGGGGGCCCCCTTGTTAAAGAGGGCTTCCAGATTCCGATAAGCCCCCTGAAGACCCCCACAACCACCGGCCAGGATTGTGGGGAGGAGTCTCTTGTCCCCAACAACATGGGGACAAGGTGCTTTGGGGGGGAGCCCCCCGTCCCAAAGCACCCCCCATGTTGAGGGCATGTGGCCTGGTATGGTTCACTTTTTCCCCCCCTTTCCTGATCTGCCGGGCTGCATGCTCGGATAAGTGTCTGAAATGGATTTTGGGGGGGACCCCCACAACATTTTATTTTTATTTTGACGTGGGAGTTCCCCTCAAAATCCATACCAGACCTGAAGGGCATGGTATGGATGGGAGGGGGGACCCCACGCCGTTTATTTATTTATTTTTTCAATTGCCGGCAATTCTTTTACATTCAGCTGTCAGTGGGGAACCAATTAACACATGGCTGTCACTACTAAAATACTGCATGACTTGATAAAATAACTCATGCGGTATTTTAGTAGCGTTTACATTTTTCTGACCTCCGGAACGGAGTAATTGGTTTTCAATGCATTCCTAAGGGAAACAGCATTTCGGTTTCCGAATTTTTTGCTGTACAAAAAATCCCGCAGAACAAATTAAATTCGTAAACTGAAATGCCTGTAATTGCTTTTTAGCCTGACTATTGGCTGTGATGGATGTTTAATAAAAACCTTATTAACTGCTTCCCCTTCGCCCTATAGCAGAAATACTGCTACAGGGTGGCAGGGATGTGCAAAATTACATATATATATATATATATATATATATACTGACATCCCAGTGACACCAATACAGTGATCAGTACTAAAAAAAAGCACTGACACTGTACTAATAGTACTGGGCAGGAAGGGGTTAACATGAGGGGCGATCAAAGGGTTAACTGTGTGCAGTGCGCTGTTTTACATAGTGCAGTGTGTGTGTGCTTTTCACTGTAAGCACACAGCTTTGCATGGCTGTGCTGTGCAGAGCCATCCAAAGCAGTGTGCACGAGCTGACAGGGTCCCTGCCATCTTGGATCTGTGACATAGGCTTCCAAGGCCGATTCCATTACAGCTGCCTCTGGCGTCCCTAGACATGGGCATTGTTTACATCTGGTGTGCCACTTCCAGTGTGCGCGGTCACCAGCCTGGGACACTTACATCAGTTCCAGCCACAGGGGATTACTGCTACATGAGCGGCACACCTGGACGCCTCTTTCGTATGGCCTTATATAAGTAATATATGTAAGTGGGGATTGACATCCCGCGTGATTATGAATTTTTATTATACAGGTGTACCTCGGTTTACAAACGCCTCGGTTAACGTAATTTTCGTTTTTCGAATGAAAATCCATTGAAAATAATGCCTTGGTTTATGAATTTTGTACAAATTGTTTTCACAATATGAAGTGTATGTCGGTTCCAATTTTTAAATGCAATTGCCAGCGCTTTTTTTTCTTCACTATAGCTCACAGAATTAGCTGTCACTTTCCCTGGAGTTAAAGGAAACTTTGTTTCTTTTAAGAAACTAAAAGAAAACATTGTTTCTTTTAACTTGGGGAAATAAACTAAAAGGAAACTTTCTCTTTTAGCTGGGGGAAAGTGACAGCTGAATCTCTGACCTATAGTGAAGAAAAAAAAAGCAGTAATTACATTTAAAAACAGGAACCATAATAAATAAAAAAATGGCGTGGGGTCCCCCCTCCCATCCATACTAAGCCCTTCAGGTCTGGTATGGATTTTGAGGGCAACTCCCACCCCAAAAATTTAAAAAAAAAATGGTGTGGGGGTCACTCCCAAAATCCATCCCAGACCCTTATCCAAGCATGCAGCCCGGCAGGTCAGGAATAGGGGGTTACGAGTGATGTCCCCGGGTGGCCCCACCCCTTATATATTTAAGAACTGTCAAACCTCTGGAGCAGGCAGACAGCCGGGGGCCATCGTCGGAAGCTGAGCTTTTTTTTTTTAAATTCCTTGTTTGGAGCGGCGGTGGGTGGCGGATATCGTGATTGTCGTTTGATCTACTGCAGGGACATTCTTTTATTTTCTTTCTTTTAATAAAGGACTTGTCAAAGACCGTGTCCTGTCTTTTTCACACTAAACTTTTTGTTTTTTTGTGAATGAGTAGTGGGACCATGTACCCCATACTCATTCACATGGGGGCGTGGGATCTGGGGGCCCCCTTGTTAAAGAGGGCTTCCAGATTCTGATAAGCCCCCTGAAGACCCCCACAACCACCGGCCAGGATTGTGGGGAGGAGTCTCTTGTCCCCAACAACATGGGGACAAGGTGCTTTGGGGGGGAGCCCCCCCCGTCCCAAAG